GTCTCATTCATCTTCCTCCGGCGCACTGAAACCGTCGAAATCCTCCTCTTCAGTGTCGGAGTTAAACAAGCTACGTCACACAAACAACCTGTTCAGTTTCTGTGTCGCTGTCCTCCCGGGCTGGCTCTGAAGCTGTGGTGTCCTCTTCACGTAGCAGTCCAGCCTTTCGGAACCCATTTGTGATGGTGGACTCATTCACTCTGCTCCACGCTGTTAGGATCCACTGACAGACATCAGGAAATATTGCTCTTCGTATTCGGCCAGTTTTTGTGAATGATTTATCCCCGTCAGTCAGCTGCTGGGAAAGCCCTCCCGCTCCAGCATTCGTCACTGCATGGGATTCCTTCCTCGGGGAGTGCAATGCCGAAAAAAAAAGTCAGCAGCTCTTCACTCGACGTTTATCCACAAACTGGTCCTGGATTAAGCTCCAAAGTTTTTATCAGTCAGATTCCACCGTGAAAAATGTCTGTTTTATCCCTTTTTATGAGTTTTTGGCCACTGACTATCTTTAAATCACTGCTTCCTGGTACAACAGTCGGCTCTGGAAGCGATCGCTTTTTTCTTTTACTTTTCTTCTTTTTTTGAAGTGAGTGGTTGAAGCAAATGGAGCATAAGAGCCCCCTGATGGCTGAAGAAAAAAAATCAATGTATAAGCCGCACCGGACTATAAGCCGCATGGTTCAAAGTTCAGGAAAAAAGTTGCGGCTTATAGTCCGCAAAATAAGGTAATTAATATACAATCTGAACAAGCTGAACAAATAATCCACATCAACCAGGTGAATTCTTTTCCACAGTTACAAAAAACACTGACTTTGGACCCATTACCTACATAAAAACAATTAAATTAAATGATTGCACTTAAAATATGAACAATTCACCTCCTTCATTTTCCACTGCACCAGTCCTTTTTTCATGAACACCATCATTACTGGGCTTTTATTAATTTAAAAACAAAACAAATTATACATACAATAAAAAATATAAACTACAAATAAATTGAAACTCAGCAGAAAGAATAATAATATTAAATCTGCCCCTTTTTCAAGAAAATAAAAAATAATTTGAACAATAATAATTTTCGAAAACCAAAAACATCAATTCCTTCTTTGTATCGGTTCACAATATACGGTTTCATATTTAACAAACCAGCATACACATTGATCCAGTGTTTTTAACATCACTCCATAATTGGGCTGCCATGATTAGTCGACTAGTCATGATTATTGTCGACTATTAAAAACATAGATAATTTAAAATTTGATGCGTCATTTTTTTTCTAACTTTGTTTTTCTCTCCAAACGGCTGCGCCACCTTCCACTGCCGCGCCTGCCTTTCTGTCCTTGACACACATGCGCAGTAGTGGTAATTAGGGCTGCCAAAAATGATGCATCGACTATTTAAATTAGTCGTTGACGATTTTAATAGTTGATTGACCTAATTGTGACTAGTCGACTAATCGTGACAGCCCTACTTCATTATCTTATTCCCTGAATTAAAGTACACTGCTTCAATCAAACTAGTTTGAAATTTAGATTTCACAAATATCTCTATCCCTATATTTTTTTAAAAAAAAAATCTTTGGACTCTCAGCTGTCGTGATATTTTTGAGTGAATCCAATGAGGTCCTGCATCAAGTGAGAAAAAAGCTTATAAGAATGTTAACTTGGTACCAAGTGGTCAAGGTGTTAATTGCAATCTTTCAAAATGACGGATAGCTTAAAAGATTTTTCTTGTCACGCTAAAAAAAAAAAAAACAAGGTCAAATACAAAAAATAAAATTTGTTAAAGCGACCCCTGGTGTGAAGCAACTTGTTTTTTGTGTTGTTGATGAACATCTATAAGAATAAGAACTATATGATTTCCCTAGCTATCATCCTAGAATGTACAATATCGGGCATAGTGGATTATTTTAACAATAGGCTTTAAGACTCGTATTATTTGTTTTGATCAGCAGTCCCCAACCCCCGGGTCGTGGGTCGTTTGATACCGGGCCGCACAGAAAGAATAAATAACTTACATTATTTTCGTCGTATTTATTATTTGAGTCTGAACAATGTTTTTTTTTTTGAAAAACGACCGGATTCTCTGTTACGTCCGTCTATGACTCACTCTTGACGCATCAAAACGCTTGTCTCGGTGAAAACTGAAAACAGACATCTTTGGAAAGTTTCTTTACAAAGGCAAAGGGGAAAAGTCGTTGGCACATAAGGTTACATACAAGTACAAAGTGAGTGGATTAACGTTTATTATTATATTTAAAAAACACTAGTTCTTGTGTTGGTCGTAGGCTATAAATTTTTTTTTCCTATTCATTCGTCATACCTGCCGGTCCGTGAAAATGTGTCTGACAATAAACCGGTCATTGGCGCAAAAAAGTTTGGGGACTGCTGGCTTAGATGTGTTTTGACTATCACGGAGAACTAGTTCTGTTGTCAAAATGTGACGTTTTGTTTTTATTCTTTTCCACAGATACCCAAACTGGGATGGAAAACTGCCGGTGTTGCAGCAAAAGTAACAACTAAAACTTTGAACAATTTACTTCCTGACTGTTGCAACATCTTTTTAAAATTCTTTAACTATGTTTGTCTTGTTTTAGTCCTGCAGTAAGAAGTGCTAAGGCCTTGCCCTCATCTTATGCCCAGTCTACCAAACGTCATCTTCAAAGAACCAGTCTTTCTGGCTCTTACAGCCCCCGGCCACGCAGGTCAAGCAATAAAAGGGACAAATGCAGCAGCAGCAGCAGCAGCAGCAGCAGCAGCAGCAGTGGCAGCGGCTCACGTTCCCGGTCATACAGCCCCCGTCAAAGCAACTCAAGAAAAAGACGGCTAAAATCCAGAAGTCGTTCTCGTTCATACAGTCCTCACCAACGCAGAAGGAACAAATCCAACAGTAGGTCCCGTTCCCTCTCGCACAGCCCCAGACGCAGTCGCAGGTTTGTGGAAATAAATGTTTGATCAAAGAAATAACGTTCTTTTTTTATTTCTATAAATATTAAAGTCTCAATGTTTTGCGTGTCATTTAGGTCCCGGCCTCGATCCTACTCTCCACGGCATGGCCGCTCCACTTTTTCCAGTTATCAGTCACGTTCAGATAGCAGGGAGAGATGTGCTTCACCAAAGAGAAAATTTAAGAGAATTCTTTCGCCGAGGAGGAGCACAGAGCGAAAACCGTCACAAAACAGAAGCAACGAGCCAAGGAGTGCCGAAGGACCGTTGTCACGAGGAAGGAACTTCGACCGACGATCGTCTCCAAAAAGTGACCGGAAACCACTATCGCCAAGAAGGCGTGGCCAACATTTTTCACCGACAAGGAGCCGAGAGCGACGGTCGTCACCAAGAGGTGACGAAAGATCACGGTCACCAACAAGGAGCTCCGAGCGGCAGTCCTCGTCATGTAGTACGAGCCGCATGAAACGACCGCCATCAATGAGTAGCAGCGAGCGACAGTTGTTTCCAAAAAAAGACAAAGGAAGACGATCCCTGATAAAGTCGGTAACAAGAAGCCTAAAGATACAAAAAGAACCCTCCACTCGGAGAAAGATTGACAAGCTGACAAAGCAATGCCTGGAAAATCCAGGTTTGACTTGAAAATATTTCAGAAAGTCATCTGTAAATAAGTTAAATGTCATGCGTTTATGAACTGTTTAAAATGAAATTACATGAACTAAGTAAAAACAGTTTTATTTTATTCATTTATATTTTAAGTATAATTTTTTCTTTTATCACCTTTTACTATAATGCAAAGCATCATCACAGTCACTAAACTAATGCCCCCATTTGCGTTTTTACCCTTCTAGCTGTCCGATCTGTGGCAAACCATTACACCATCAAGGAGGCAATTGCACTGGTGGTTCCTGTTCTAATGGATGAGCTAGCCAAGGATGGGGCATCCTCACCTTCCTCTTCATCGGGAGTCCTCACGTCAAAATCATGTAGCTCATCTTCCTCCTCCAGAGTGGAAAAGGGAAAGTCTAAACTCCAGAAGAACAAGGGTATCTCTTCCTCAAAACCAAAGGTTGGTGCGCCTGTGGATTTTGAACAACCAGTAAATATTTAATCAATATTTGTCTATATTATTTTCTTTCTTGTAGTGTAAATACTCTGGATGTGATGTGTTTATGAGTACATGAGTGATGTATTTCATAAAAGCAGCCACATTACCAGGTCTCTCTCTCTCTTACGTAGTTTGATAAACCTTCTCCTCCAACCATGCTGAAGCTTAAAGGGAAGTTTGATTCTCTCTGTCATAATGATGTGGTTTCCGCTGTGGAGGTTTTTGGAAAAACCAAATCAGTTCTGCTGATGAAGCCCAAACAGGAGGTGTGTACAAAACATGCAGTGCATGAACGGCATATGCGTCTTTGTTGTGATCATCGCCTGGTGCCAGTTTAAGATGGCTGTCGTTGCTAATCGGCTTTACCCGACACAAAAATGGAAATTTTAGAGATGTTGGGGTAGAATTTGGTGTGTTAGAAGCTGTCGTTCACGGCGTACAGTGCGTACGGATAATATTTAGACCCCATTTAAATTTTTCACTCTGTTTCATTGCAGCCATTTGCTAAAATCAAAAAAGTTCATTGTATTTCTCATTGTACTCTCAACACCCCATCTTGACAAAAAATAAATAAAAAAATGTAGAAATCTTTGCAAATTTATTTGCAAATTTAAGTATTCAGACCCTTTGCTTTGACACTCATATTTAACTTATGCTGCCCATTTCCTCCTGATCCTCCTTGAGATGGTTCTACTCCTTCATTGGAGTCCAGCTGTGTTTAATTAAACTGATTGGCTTGATTAAGAAAGGCACACACCGGTTTACATAAAACCTCACAGCTCATGTCAGAGTAAATGAGACTCATGAGGGTCAAAGGAACTGCCCAAGGAGCTCAGAGACAGAACTGAAGCAAGGCACAGATCTGGCCAAGGTTACAAAATAATTTCTGCAGTACTCAAAGTTTCTAAGAGCACAGCGGCCTCCATAATCCTTAAATGGAAGAAGTTTGGGATGACCAGGACTCTTCCTAGACCTGTCCACCCAGCCTAACTGAGCAGTTGTGGGAGGAGCCTTGGTGAGAGGGGTAAAGAAGAACCCAAAGATAACGGTGGCTGAGCTCCAGAGATGCCGTAGGGAGATGGGAGAAAGTTCCACTAAGCCAAATATAATGCAAAAACTGTCCATCCTACCAAGTTTTAAAATCTTATATCCAGCCAAAAAGTCTTTTTGATCTTGTTTTGAGACTGATTTACTGAACAAGAACTGATTGTGTAAGAATAATCATCTTGTTTTCAGAATATGTAAGATTATTTGTCTTGTTAGCCTGAAAATTTGACTCAAACTAAGTCAAAAATTTCTGCTAATGAAGTAAGAACATTTTACTTGGTAAGATTCTTAAAATACTTGATTTGACTCAATTTTTTCTTATTTCAAGAATCTTACCAAGTCAAATTTTCTTACTCCACTGGCAGATATTTTTGACTTAATTTGAGTCAAATTTTCAGGCTAACAAGACAAATAATCTTACATATTCTGAAAACAAGATTATTATTCTTACACAATCAGTTCTTGTTTAGTAAATCACGCTCAAAACAAGATCAAAAGACTTTTTAGCTGATATAAGGTTTTAAAACTTGGTAAGATGGACAGTTTTTGCAGTGTATCACTGCAGCCCTCCACCAGTCGGGGATTTAGAGTGGCCCAACGGAAGCCTCTCCTCAGTGCAAGACATAAAAGAGCCAAAAAACACATGAAAGTCTCCCAGACTATGAGAATAATTTTCTCTGGTCTGATGAGATGAAGATAAATTTTTTGGGGGTAATTCTAAGCAGCATGTGTGGAGAGAACCAGGCACTGCTCATCACCTGCCCAATACAATCCCAACAGTGAAACATAGTGTTCAGGGACTCCAACATGTCAGGCTGGATGGACAAGTCTTCACTCGTTGACATCTTTTAATTCATTTGCAAATGAGTAAATTTTCTTCGCAGCTATATAGTGGTAAACCACTGGATCAAACTAGAATAGACTGGTCTGGGCGGGGTGTGAAGTGTCTCATTTGGATTTAAAGAGACAGCCTCAAAACAAGTTAATCTGAGACACACCTCAGAAAAGGGGCGGGGCTTGTGGAGTTTTATTCTTTATATAGACCTAACTGAAGGATTTAAATGTAAAAAAGAATTATATGTCTCCTCTAAAGGAACACTAGACCTTAAATTTATATGCCTTCTGGCCACTTAGGTGAGAGGTGTGATGGGAGTTTAAGCCATAGTCGTAACTCAATGTTATTTGAATTAATTCTTGTAGGCGACCGTGTGTTTCGAGAACAAGGAAGATGCAGAAAAACTGAGAAAAATAAAGAGCCTTAGATTGAAAGATGTGGTTCTCACTGTTTCAGAAATGGTAATTTTTTTTTTTGATTTACTTTGAAAATACACATCAGCATTTGTCTTTTTGTAATGTGAATTGTCAATAATTTGATGAATCAATGATTTATAATGTATAGGGTGGCGTGTTTGAAAAGGCCCCTCCTTCTACAGAGGATCAGAAACAGTCATTTCAACAGTAAGTTATTCACACAAACTACAATTTAACTGTGATCTTATATCCACATTATTAATTTACTCTGCCTACCGATACACTATACAGTTAATAATATATACAGTTAATTTACAATTTGGGTACACCTATTTTCATAGCATGTGTTTTTGAAATGAAAGAAACTTAATGTAAAGTGACTTATCACTCAAAAAAAGCTTGAGAAGTAGATAAATTCAGTGTTATTCTTGGTATTACATAGGAAAAGCAAATGGAAAACAGTGTTTTCAACTTCTTTCCATAATTTTGCCTAATTTGCTTCTTTCACAGAAAATCTGCAGTGACGAATAAATCAGGTTCTTCTAAGGAATTGGTTCTACTTCCATTTGAAACACTTATATCTTTACCAGCAAAATACAAAAAGAGTCCAGCATCCAAACCTACGAAAAAAGCAAATGTTGCAACTTCCAAAGGGAAAGATGTCACCAAGCAGACAAAAGGCATAGCGTCTGTAAAACGAGCTGTGAAACGTGTTGAAGGAGAAAAAGCTTCGAAGCCCGTAGGATCCAAGAAGCTCAGAAGTCTTGTAAAAAATCCTGGTTCTGGTAGCGTGAAACCGGCAACTAAAATCGCCAAAAAGAGGGATGAAGATTCTGCTGTTCGGCTGAAAAAAACAACAAATGTTGAAAAGGTCTTCAGTGTGTTCGGTTCCAAACAAGTTAAAGGCACCAGAACTGTCATCAGGGCAAAGAGCCGTGCTTTGAAAACACTCAAAGGCTTCAGAACCAAAGAGTTAACAGAGAAGACCACCATGGTCTCGTCAGAATCTACAGCATTAACTCAGGCGGAAGGTTCTGGGATTTTCAAACTGAAAAACTTGGATTCAAGAGTTCAAGTTGAGCCTGAAGATCTGGCAAAACAGACTCGAGTTGTCACAAAATCAGAAAAAATCCTACAAATAGAACTAACAGCTGATTCTGAGACGATAGAAGATAAAGATAAAACAGTGGAGCTGGAGAAAACGGGAGTGACTGAGCCAGAGAAAGCTAAAGGTTCTGCTGAGGACGTAGTAAAAAACCTGACAGCTGAAAAGATTCTGCCAGTTTTAACGCCAACCAGTGAAGATGCGACTGAATCAAACAGATCTTTGATTCAACCACCCCAGACGCAACAGACGACTCCAGAAACTTCACTCGAAGACGCGCCACAGGTCCAGCCTAATCTAGACTCCACTGCAAAGAAACCGAACGCCGACACAAAAACTGGACAAGATTTGACTGCAGAAAGTTCTCCCAAAGCTGCTTTTGAGGAGGTGCTGACAACTGGAAATGTAGAAACAAAAACAAATCAAGAAGGTAGGTTGGAGACGATTCATTTAAAAAGTGACCACAGTAGTTCCTAAAACGATCAGTGCTAACATCGAAACAAAGAGAAGCTCATCTTGTATTGTACATTGATTAAAAACCTGGCAAAATAGACTTTTATCCAACTTTTTTCTTATCTTGATGTACACTTTGTGTGATCCTACAGCTGCAGCTCAGGACCAATTGTGTTTACAAATTAAAGCCATCCAGGCTTCTGAATTTGGCATTGGAGGAATTCAGACCTTTTATATTATGTATTTACTATCTGTTTTTTCTGTTTAAGCCTAAATTGCATTCTTGAAGAAGACGCACGTTCAAGCCCATATATAAATCCCTGTTATTATTTTTTAAATTGTTTCCTGTTTTACCAATTTTTTCCTTATGATTCTGCTTCTGCAGAGACCAGTCTCGTTTTAGAGCCCGTCTGCAGTTATTCAGCAGCTGCAGCTCCTACAACAAAACCAGGCTCCACCGCGGCATCCACGGCCAAAAGGATGTTTTCCGGTACCACTTTTGCTAATACCACTGTTGGGGAGAGAATACAGTGGTATTGTGAGCCACAGAAATTCAGTAAGAAATCAGTTTTTCATATATGGTAATTAACACAGTAAACCATGTCAGGTGTACAGTCTTTCATTACTTCTTCTTTGACTCTTGCAGATTGTGTGATGGCAGAAAGTATCTTGTCAGATGGAGTAAGTTTTATTTTTCCTCTTTTTTTATGATGGCACAAAGTGAAAGAGATGAATTTTTTTGTTTCATACTAATTCGTGACGAGGACTAAAAATTTGTTAGAACCAACTTTTTATATTTGTATTTAGTTAAACATGTTTCCTGCATTTTAGACATTTATAGGCATTTATTGCAAAAACATAGATGCATTTAAATAAATCAACTTGATCAAATCAACTTTTTAAAAGATTTAAAAAATACATAAATTATTTGCCCTTTTAAAAAAACTGAATTGGTGAATTTTGTGAAACTAAAGACCCTCAAGAAGCTAAAACGTAAAAAGCAAAAGTAATTTATATTTGATGTTTTAATTTAAGGCTGAGTGAGTGATAAAAGATTGACTAACTTTGACATAAATATAAAAAATGTTTTTTTAGCAGTTATGTGAAGTAGTTGATTTTTTCCCCCACATGACAATTATTGTACTAAAATAAAAGGACAATTTGAGGGTTAAAAAAACAAAGCTAGCAAAAAATACTTACCGTATTTTTCGGGCTATAAGCCGCAACTTTTTTCCTGTACTTTGAACCATGCGGCTTATAGTCCGGTGCGGCTTATACGTGGATTTTTTTCTTCAGCCACCAGGGGGCTCTTATGCTCCATTTGCTTCAACCACTCACTTCAAAAAAAGAAGAAAAAAAAAAGAAAAAAGCGATTGCTTCCAGAGCCGACTGTTGTACCAGGAAGCAGCGATTTAAAGATAGTCAATGGCCAAAAACTCATAAAAGGGGATAAAACAAACATTTTTCACGGTGGAATCTGACTGATAAAAACTTTGGAGCTTAATCCAGGACCAGTTTGTGGATAAACGTCGAGTGAAGAGCTGCTGAGTTTTTTTTCCCCCGCATTGCACTCCCCGGGGAAGGAATCCCATGCAGTGACGTATGCTGGTGCGGGAGGGCTTTCCGCTGGGCTCTGGGTTTCTTGGGGGAACTATGAAAGGTCGGTGCGAAAACAAACGCCGAACAATCACGTGATGGCGCGTCGACCGGTCGACAGCTGAGCAACCATACTGCCAGCTCAGCCAGAGGTGTAGCGCCATTTTGTTTTAGCTAGTAGCAGACACGACACGACGGATCTTCGACAGACACGATATTGGACAGTATGTGGGCCCACATCACGGATTCGGTGAAAGCAGCCATCAAGAAAACAAACTCAATTCCTGCTGTTATTCTTGGAGGTACAACAAAGTTTTTGCAACCCCTGGACATCAGTGTGAATCGTGCATTTAAAGCAGCCCTCAGGGGTGAATCAAACCTGTGGATCGCCTCCATCAAGTTACCAAGRACCTGTYGATTTAACATTKGTTGTGGATTATAAATTCATCAAGTTACCAAGGACCTGTTGATTTAACATTTGTTGTGGATTATAAATCCATCAAGTTACAGAGGACCTGTTTGTTGGAAAAATATGCATTGTTCAAAATGGTATGTCCGAATAAACAGGATTCAGCTGGATTTCTTGTCAAAACTTTATTTTTGATCTTCTGACTTCAATCAGGTTCACAGAACAGCTCTCAGCAGCACAGGCCTCAGCGTACAACCTTGGGCCAAATCAAAACAAACACGGGAGTTCTGCTCTGAGCAGACACTCTGCAAAACACTGACAACTTCTCTCTAATATAATAATGAATTGAGCTTATAATGTTCATCCCTTCCTGGTTACACCCCAGAGGTGTTATCTTTTACGTCAGACGTCAGAACGTCACTCAGTTTTGTTTAGGCTAAGAGAAAGAACACATGATAACACACACCAACTCTTATTTTGTTATGGCCTTACAGCTGCAATGATCAGAAAGAATAAAATACAAAACTGAATCTAATACTCAATTAATCAGTTATAAAATTTCTTCATGTTGAGTTAACATTTGTTGTGGATTAAGACTCCATCAAGTTACCAAGGACCTGTTGATTTAACATATGTTGTGGATTATAAATCCATCAAGTTACCAAGGACCTGTTGATTTAACATATGTTGTGGATTATAAATCCATCAAGTTACAGAGGACCTGTTGATTTAACATTTGTTGTGGATTAAGACTCCATCAAGTTACCAAGGACCTGTTGATTTAACATTGGTTGTGGATTATAAATTCATCAGTTTACCGAGGACCTGTTGATTTAACATTTGTTGTGGATTATAAATTCATCAGTTTACCGAGGACCTGTTGATTTAACATTTGTTGTGGATTATAAATCCATCAAGTTACCAAGGACCTGTTGATTTAACATTGGTTGTGGATTATAAATCCATCAAGTTACAGAGGACCTGTTGATTTAACATTGGTTGTGGATTATAAATCCATCAAGTTACAGAGAACCTGTTGATTTAACATTTGTTGTGGATTGTAAATCCATCAAGTTACCAAGGACCTATTGATTTAAAATGACTTGTGGATTATAGAATATATTTGAATCGGTTGGAAACATCAAACCCAGGACCATTAGGCAACATTCTCAGTGTTAATTCAAACATTATACCTAAATTAACGCAGCCTTGGCTTAGGGACAGATAGTTAACGTTAATTGTTTTTTGTTTTTTTTTCATATATGTTTTTTAATCTTTCTCAACTGCTGAATTGAACTTTGTGCTTTGCCAATATTCATTAAAGACCAATCAGAACCATTCTAGGAGTTGTGGACATTCAATTACTAATTTTTTTGTATCGTGTCTCAAGTTTTTTTCCATAGTAGTAATGAACACGAACACTATGTACACTGTTCTCTTAATGCTTCTCTGATAAATACATTTTATATTTGTTTTTTACTCATTCCTTTTCTGACATTACAGAGGTGGGGTTTGAACCCAGGATTTCCTCATTTGGAGGTAAGAATTTATACGTCACAACATGCTGTGCTGTCAGTCAGAAGGTTTGCAGCTTTTATTGTTTTTTATTTAAATTTTGCGTCTGTGAACTGAGCATGTGTCTCTGTAGTCACGATAGTTGGGTTGATAGCAACGGTGTTTAAGAATCAGAGTGCAGACAGAAGATGAGAAATGTGCCACAAGAAGCATCAGTCGGCATGACGGCTCAGTGGTTAGCACCGACGCCTCACAGCAAGAAGGTCCTGGGTTCGATCCCCGGTTCGGACC